TAGATATATGTATCATCAGATCCTATAGATTTTCTAGAGATTTACAAAGATAGTTTAATGTACAGATATGTTAGTCTTCACTTCAACTCAATACTATTGGACATTACACTACCTCTCCCAGTAATTCCTCAACCTGAAGCCACTCTCAGTAGTACAACTAATGTACCTGAAGGAGGAATGATAATGGAAATTATATCAATAAATGAAGAAAATAAAAGAAGTAATATTGAGTATAGTTATTGTAAAGAACATTAAATATTTTGTTATTCAATACAGAGATACAGGTACAAGTTGATAAGAGAATAACATTAGCTCAATTGAAGGAGAAGCTAGTTCCACTGATTGGTGTACCAGCTGCTGGTTTTAGAATGTATGGAATCAGAAACAATAAAGAATATGAAATGGCAGGACTGCATGAGACATTAATGGACATCAGATCTGGATCAAAAGTATTTTTTGTGTTATTTGATTTATTTCTCTTTTCTCTTATATCAACTCTAAGTACTAATAACACATCAATCTCTTTATTACTTTGTTTATCTCCTAGTTGATAGTAAGACTGGGTAGAGCAATAAGAAAAGGAGAGTACAGAATTAAATTATATTTATTACAAGTTAACAATACAGACGTAAGAATATTAGGCCACGTTTACGCAGCTACATTTTCAAGCAAAAACAAATACTTTTGTATGCATTTGCACCTTCACTACTGGTCGTATTTTCCACAAATATAGCATGCTTTCTCAGAAAAAAAGTTGTTTTTGAAGCATGTTTTCCTTGTCCACTGCCATTTTATGTTATAAGTTATTAATTAAAATTATTATGCGTGTACAATTAATTAAAGTTATTTCAATCAAAACGCAGCTGTGTAAACACATTGAAAATGCTGTAAAAACGATGCTAATTTCCTAATTTAAAATGGATTCAAGTGAATCGTTGCTGTGTAAATGTGGCCTTAATAAAAAATTGTATATTTTATTTTATGTTTCAGTTTTGTAAAGATATGATGGACTCTATTGTTGCTAAGTACACACCAGTGAGAGAATTTAAGAAACAAATTCTTGAAGAAGCAAAAGTACGAAGAATTGACTGTGACCTTGAATTAGACAAGTAAGTACATCATGTGACTATCATGTGACTCATTGTGTAGAATGAGATTACGTGACAAGAGAGGAGTGAACCCTGGTAGAATATATCTTGATCATCAGGTGATTGATACTAAGGAAACATATTATGTGGAGCCATTGAAAGGTCAGTCAATATTTTCATTTTAAACTGTATATGAAAAATAGCAGAATTATATACCATACGCGTCTTAATTTTCGAGGTGATAAATTTTCGTGTTTTCCAAAAAAACATCTTAGAAATTAAATTTCGTTAGTATAA